GGTAGTCTGGCTCTGTTTCTTGCAAGCTTTCATGTTTCATTATCTGATCTCAGTACACTAGTAAGTGAGCATACTGGATTGAGATTCAGGAGAGGCAAGATCTAGACAGAGGTCCTTCAGTGAAGAAGATTGGTGCGACTGATGCATCTTCAGATTGCTTTCTTGAGCAGTATGCTCTTGTCCAGTCGTTTGGCTTTTTTGCAGCAGTGGCTGCATTTGAGCCTCCCAGCCTCCTCACTGTCCCATCCTGGCAGGATGAGCTGCCACATTTTGCTAGTACAACCTGCCACACTCAACATGCGAACATGGGTCTCTACTGCCCTCTCGTGCCCACTAGAAGAAGCGATGCATGGCGAGCAGGTTGATGCCTTTGGAAGGGGTTTTGGAATGATGACAACCATGATTGACATGCCAATGCCTCTTATCCATTTTTTTAAACATTTCACTACTACCTTATATTTTTAACAATGACAAATTTTCTGTTTTTCAAGGACCATTCCTAGATCTTCTGCCTCAATCTCAAGTCAATATGCTCACCTACCTGTTTGATGATATCAAAGCTATATTAGAAGCACTCATTTCTCTTGGGTTGTCTGTGTCTTCTCTCTTCACTCCTGCCTCTGAAGAAGAAAGGTACCTCCTCTGAGCTAAATGGGAACCCAGAGTACAGAGTAGAAACAGCTAACGGAAAAATGATCAGAAAAAGCAGAAATATAGATAGAAAAGTTAGAAACAGCAGAAATGGAGGCAAGGGTGAACTCCAGAAATGTTTAGTCCAAAGGAAGGAAAAGTCTGATAGTAGAAGAAGATAGCATAATTGAAGGAAAGTTTTCTACAATAGAGAAAACTTGAGTTTATTTGTAAGCTGATGGAAAACCTCCAGTGGAGAGAACTGATTAATAGTGTGCATCTCAGAGCAAACAGCAGAAGGTACTTCATCCTATATTCTTCCGATTTATTTCCTTGTTTAATCTTTACTCTTCTTTATATATCCCAACACATCAAGAATCAGACATTGGAAATAAATACGGTCAATAAATATTTACCACTCAGTTGAATCATATTGAGAACATTGGATTGGTCCAGTTATGAAGCCCAAGCCATAATGAAGGTTCTCTTGAATGGTTTCTGCTTTTGTCTAAATGACATGCCCCACTACAAACATCTCCTACGTTGAAAGAAAAGTGATCCAGAAGAGAGTAGCTCCATTACCATCATTGTTTATATTGATCTTATGGAACACCAGGTTGGTGAATTCCTCAGGACTCACAGTTTGCTGGCCATTGAGGGCTTGTACCGCCTACAAAAAACATTAAATGAAAGAGGTCAACTTTTCTGGAAGCAAATACATTTTGCAACATTTCTGCTCCAGCGCAACAGAATCTGGGGATGTGTTCATGTCAGTTGCTGTCCAACCAGTACCAGTTGTTAAAAGTAAATAAAAAGAAAAGATTGTATATCAGTTCTGGGTAATGAGACTTGGAAATTAAATGAACTAAATAAAGACTGAAGACTTACTTTATTCAACATACTAGGTCACAACAGATGCAATGAGCCCATTGGAGACAATATTGTAGTAGTCATCGTCATAAGGATTCCGGACCCAGAAAGCAGACATTGCTCTCAATTTCAGACAGATTCATTTGGGTCTTATGGGTAAAAGTAAAAGCATGGCCAATATGCTGTAAGAGTCGCAGGCTTCCTCTCCGGCTTCCGCTACTGGCACCCCAGGTTCTTTGTGCCCTTTTGTATAATGATTGACTTGGGAGACAGATATACATATGCCTTAGAAGGGTGCTGACTTTCTCCCACATTCTGCCAGTGCCTTTTCATTATTAAAATTGTCAGGAAATCCAGGGGGCAAATGATGTTTCCAGCCTTCCTAGAGGGAAGACATAGCCAACCTCCCCTAACCCCAAGGTGATTAAATTAAATGACCCAGACTTGACATAGAACTTCATAATAAAATGAAAGAGGATTAGACATTTGGGAATTTGAACACAACTATCTTGGTTGAACAAGAAGGAATCTTTTTTTTTTTTTTTTTGAGACAGAGTTTCGCTCTTATTACCCAGGCTGGAGTGAAATGGCGAGATCTCGGCTCACCGCAACCTCCACCTCCTGGGTTCAGGCAATTCTCCTGCCTCAGCCTCCTGAGTAGCTGGGATTACAGGCACGCACCACCATGCCCAGCTAATTTTTGTATTTTTAGTAGAGACGGGGTTTCACCATGTTGGCCAGGATGGTCTCGATCTCTCTCTTTTTTTTTTTTTTTTTTTTTTTTTGAGACGGAGTTTCACTCTTGTTACCCAGGTTGGAGTGCAATGGCGCGATCTCAGCTCACCACAACCTCCGCCTCCTGGGTTCAGGCAATTCTCCTGCCTCAGCCTCCTGAGTAGCTGGGATTACAGGCATGCACCACCACGCCCAGCTAATTTTTTGTATTTTTAGTAGAGACGGGGTTTCACCATGTTGACCAGGATAGTCTCGATCTCTTGACCTCGTGATCCACCCGCCTCGGCCTCCCAAAGTGCTGGGATTACAGGCTTGAGCCACCGCGCCCGGCCTGGTCTCGATCTCTTGATCTCGTGATCCACCCGCCTCGGCCTCCCAAAGTGCTGGGATTACAGGCATGAGCCACTGCGCCCAGCCCCAAGAAGGAATCTTTATAAAAATTTCTAGCAACATATTTCAATTAGAGGACACAATCATAAATATGACTGTCTCTCTTGCTGCTTCCCAAGCATTATCAACCTGGAGTCCAGGATTAATCATAATAGGTGATGGTAAAACACCTGTCTTGGCCTTAGCAAGTTTAGGTCTCATGGATCTCATAGATGAATATAAGACAATATTTAAAGTAACTGTTACATACATATAACACCACATTTGAAGAAAATTTCAAGGATTTCTCAGTGTTTGGTCAGAGGCTTCAAAAGCCTAGAAAATCTGGCCAAGCATCCAGTATACCCAAATTCTGAAGTGATATTAGATCACATAAACAAGTCCTAACAAAAAATTGTGAGATCATGATTGGTTCGCCAATCTTCAAGTCATATAAGTGGAAGTGAAATACTGATTGGAAAGTGGAAGAGCACTGAGGGATAATTTTTTTTTTTTTTTTTTTTTTTTTGAGATGGAGTCTTGCTCTATTGCCCAGGGTGGAGTGCAATGGCATAATCTCAGCTCACTGCAACCTCTACCTTCCAGTTTCATGCAATTCTCCTGATTCAGCCTCCTGAGTAGCTGGGATTACAGGCACCTGCCACCATGCTCTCCTAATATTTGTAATTTTAGTAGATACAGGGTTTCAACATGTTGGCCAGGCTAGTCTCAAACTCCTGACCTCGTGATCTGCCCTCCTTGGCCTCCCAAAGTGTTGGAATTACAGGCAGGCATGAGCCACCACGCCTAGCCTCTTTCTTTTTTTTAATAGAAGCAACAGGGTGGGGGGATAGGCAAGAAGCTTTGTTTTGTTTTGTTGTCTGCTTGTTTTCCTTCTTTCCTTCTTCATTTACTACATTCACTCTTTCTTCCGTATTTTCCTAATCGCAGTCTCTGAGCACTCCCTGTGTGGGAGTAGGAGGATGTAGGAGATAAAGGAAGCAGGAGAGTTCTTACTTGGCAAGCACTGTCCTGGTTAGCTAATTTCAGTGCTCCCTGGACTGGCAAGTGTAGACTGTCACTCCTGCAATTCTCTAGGCTGGAATCGTGCATCCTGATTGCAGCTGGTCCCTTACTCGCTTAGAATTTCTTAAAATCCATACAATTGCCATTTTTAGACTAGGCAATTCTTTCTTGTTCAGGGCATTCCCATGCATTGTCAAATACTTGGCAGTAACTGTGGTCTCTAATCAATAGATGGCAACAGCACTAGGCATTCTCTACTCTCCAACTCACCACACTGTCTCTAGACACTGAAATATCCCCTGAATAGAGATTCTCCTGGTTGAGAACAAGGGCTCTAGGTCTGCCTGCAGCTTTCTTCAAGTTAGCTTCACCTCTTCCAGTGGCCCTGCAGGTTAAGATCTAACACAGATCTGTGCCAGCTTCCTCTCACAGTGTTCCATACCTGATCTGTGGAAAACACCCAGAGGAGGTGGGGAGGTTAAAAAAAAAAGGAAAACACCCTAACATCCTTTGTCCCAACAAATTCTAGAAAGGCAGATACTTCCAAACTGTGCACTCCTTTGCTGTCACCATTCACTTCTTTAGACTTCTCACTCATGACTCAAACACTCAAATGTTGTGTTCCTCAAATTGCAGGATACAATCACATCTCAATGGTTTCCTAACATCCTCATGTTATTGACTTGGGGGTCCTACTAAATACATTTTCCTCAAAAATGCTTAAAAACCGGAGCGGGTGCAGTGGTGCATGCCTGTAATCCCAGCTACTCGGGAGGCTGAGACAGGTGAATCACTTGAACCCCTGGAGGCGGAGGTGGCAGCTGGACAGTCAGTTATGACACCTCTCTCTCAGTGCCCGCTGGGGAAAATTGTAGTGGGGGAAGGGCTCCAGCTAGTGGTCAGCACAGACTACACAGATCAAGGGACTTGTCCCACACTGTGAAAGCAACACGCACAATTACTGAATGTTGTTAAATGAGACATACTTTCCATGCAATATCCCACTTCATCTCAACATAACTCCAGGATAAAAGTCCTATTGCTATTCTGAATCTATGGGTAAGTAAATGTGACTTAAAAATGTGAAACAAGTATCCCAAGATCACACATCCAGTAAGCAGCAAAGTCCATTAATGACCCCAGGCTGTCTGATTCCAGGTGCCTTCACCAATGAGCAACACCATCTTGTGTGCACAAAGACAAGTAAAGGTAAAAGGTTTTAATATTTCTCATTGTGCCCCAGCTGCAGAGAAAGAAAGGAAACCTCAGAAGAAAACATCCCATTGGCCCCAAATAAAGAATAATGGTTGTTCTATGATGGGGCGCTATCATCTTGTACTCAGAGCACACAGCCCATCTTAATAGACAAGATGGTAAATGTCTGTGAGGAACCCCCCCCATCAGGTGAGTCTGTCACCTGACAGGTATAGAAGGTTTTTTCTAATGGCCCAGGTTTGCCCAACCCCAGATTAAACAATGTTTGACTAACAATCACTCTTCCCTTTCAGCAAATTTAGTGTTCCTCAACAGGGCTATGTAAGCCTGGTTTCCTTTCCCTCATTCCCTGGGTTGTTCTAGCCTCCATTTCCGTGCTGCCATTATGCTTAGAGAATTTTTCTATCTACTTTTATTATTAGAGTATACTTAAGGAATAAAATGGGAGTTCTCATTACTTAATTAATGTTGAGATTTGGTGGGTTTATGAAAGAACATATGGATCTAAATGATATCCTGTGCTTATGTCAAGAGGGGCCAGGTGTGGTGACTCACATCCGTAATCCCAGCACTTTGGGAGGCCGACGCAGGAGCATCACTTGAGGTCAGGAGTTCAAGACCAGCATGGCCAACATGGTGAAACCCTGTCTCTATTAAAAATACAACAAAACTAGCTGGGCATGGTGGTGCATGCCTGTAGCACCAGCTACTCTGGAGGCTGAGGCACGAGAATTGCTTGAACCCAGGAGGTGGAGATTGCAGTGAGCAGAGATTGCTCCACTGTACTCCAGTCTGGGTGATACATCGAGACTCCATCTAAAAAAAAAAAAAAGTCAAGAGGACCGGCAAATCTTCTAGGAACTTGTCTCATGCTAATGTAGCCTTTCTCAAGTTAACTAAATTCTTCCTTGAATAGACATATGGAGAGGGGCTTTTAATTCACATAGAGGGAAAGATTATATACTATATTACTTCTTAAGCATATTCTTTTCCCAAGAGATCTGCTCTCATTTGAATTGTGAATGCATAAAATCTCGTCCCCTGCTCCTTTTCTGGGAGCAATATAATTTTTCTTGTCGATATAATTTTTGGCTCTAGAAAGGTCAGGAGCATTAACTGCAGCAGTAACTCAGTTTGCTGGAGCAATAATTCAGAATTTCCCTGACAAGAAAGAGAAGGGCTGCCCCAGACATCTGGGAGCTGGTCTGGTGCTCTGTGGCATGTAAACAATTTCACAGAACATTAACATTGAACAAGGCCACCCTGTGACCTTGATGAGTCAAGACAAAAATACAAGGCCACTCTGTAATCATGTCTGAATGCAGACAAAAATATGAATATTGTCCAACTGGATTCAAAAATAATCAAGCAGCCCCCTAACCTGGCTAACATGCGTGACTGCTGCTTCCTTTCAAATTACATCTGTAGCCTTGGTCTAGTCTTCTCTTCTTCCAGATACAATTTAAGATACCCAATTATAGAATCATTTCTGCTTCCTGACAGCCTCCAATCCCATGCTCATGACCATACCTTATCACATGGGAGCTTGGGACATATAGTCTAGTTACGGGCCCAGGACAAAGAAGAAACACACAGCCAGGCTACAATTTCATTTGGTAATTATGAGAAAACTGTAATGAAGTTAATAACCTTACATTTAAATACTCACTCAGGGAAATCGCTCTCAGTCTTTGCCCTTTTGTTTATCTTGGTGCACTACCCCCTACAAAACCAAGGTCCAGAAACTTATAGGATGATCTTGTAACACTTCACAAGAGGATTCAGAATAGCAGCTTTCCAAATTTTCCTTTTTCCCTGCTAATTACGTGGGCAATTACACCAGCCTTGGTATCATATAAATTTTTCATTAAACATGTGAATAGTGTTTGATTGGCTCTCTGATGGTTGTTGCTTTGTAGCAGATAATCTCAAAAATAGTAGAAACAGAAGATTCTACTATTGTGTAAATTCTTAAATTTCACATAAATTCAGAAGAACTATGTGAATTTAAATTTAGATTTTAACCCCCTTGACCCCATCACATTGTCTGCATACATTTTTCTACTGATCAGCTCAAACATTGTCATTTGAACCACTGATGGTGAACAGTAAAGATCATCAAAACAGTCAATACGCTTGAGTAGGCTCCACTATTGTCAGGGTTGCCAGTAACACAAATGCTGCCGGAGGATGTAACCAGCATGGGATCTTTCTTACAGACCAATATCTCAAAATTGAGAAGGGTTGTTTTGCCTAACACAGCCCCATAGAAGAAGACCTAACCATCTTCAACCTCATTCTTCCACAAATTGACAATGACCTTCTACAGTACTCTTTTAGGCACAAATCACCGACCCTGGTCTAAGGAGCTTCCATTGCAGACGTCCCTGGAACCACCTGGCTGGAAATGTGATAGTGACAATTTTGACAACACGGTCTGACATGATTCACAAAAATGTACCTTCCTATAGGCCACTAGTTTTTCCACAACACTGAATGTCATCATAAAGTCCAGTTATCCTCTATCACCTAAACCACACTGACCCCAGAAAGTTAATTTTCATATCGAAACTGTTTCTCACACACACCCTCTTAGCTGCCAAAATGCAGCATGTATTTGTAATCAAAGCAAAGACAGCCCTCTCTTTCTAAGTGTCATTTTTCACCCTGCCAATTCATTAGCCATCAAAGGTGTAAAAAACTGCCTGGGTATACCTCCTACATATAAGCACCATGCTTATCTGAGAAGCACTAGAACTCTGTGGACAAATCTTGAAGGAGCCTCCTGAACCAGAGCATTACAGAGCACCTGCTATCTTCACAGCACCATTAGGTAAAGGCTTTCTCTGCTTCACTGAACTTATTTCTGCACACTTTGAAATTCTAAAACTTTCCTTAAGGGCCAGTTCTTTGGCAGGCCTTCTCCTAAGGGAGCTGTGACTGCTGCTTGGTCAGCAGTCACAGGTGACCTGTCAGGTCACCTGTGACCCTGACAGGTACCCTCAACATAATGACTGAGGAGAGTTTAATAAGGGGCTATTTAAGATGATATGGGCAACATTTAAGGAAATCAACAGGAGATGGTGCCTGTTGGTTGCAGGGTGGTAGGAGGAGGTGTCTTAGTTTACAACAGTGAAAACATGATAACCTTAGGCCTACAGGAGCAAGAGGTGAGAACCAGGCCCAGGGAGACTCTGAGCTATAGCAGTAGGGGAGGGGCTTCTCAAGAGGCCTTTGGTGGAAAAAGAAAAAAATCACCGACAACCTCAAGCAGAGCACAATGGGAGCTTAGGAATTAATACCACGACCTTCACCTCCTCCTGGACTCTAATACCTGGCTGGTGCTCCCCAGCGGGCCAACCCTGGAAGAAAGTAAAAAACAGAAGAGTTCTGGAATTAATAAAGTCTGTAGAGTCAGCTTCCCAAGCACAAAGCATAGTGAAGCATGTAGGAAGGTAGATCCAGAGGGGCAAGATGAGAATATATGTACAGAGGCAAGTTTCCTAACTGTCCTGTTACAGAGCTCGCTTAGTAAGGGCAGCTGGCTTAATAAGAGCAGCAATGGCCGGGCGCGGTGGCTCAAGCCTGTAATCCCAGCACTTTGGGAGGCCGAGGCGGGTGGATCACAAGGTTGAGAGATCGAGACCAACCTGGTGAACATGGTGAAACCCCGTCTCTACTAAAAAAAAATACAAAAATTTAGCTGGGCATGGTGGCGTGTGCCTGTAATCCCAGCTACTCAGGAGGCTGAGGCAGGAGAATTGCCTGAACCCAGGAGGCGGAGGTTGCGGTGAGCCGAGATCGCGCCATTGCACTCCAGCCTGGGCAACAAGAGCGAAACTCCATCTCAGAAAAGAAAAAAAAAATAAAATAAGAGCAGCAATGCTCTTAAGGAAATAAACAAGAAAGCGATCTTATTTCCAAAGATGTCATTTGTGTAGTGCTTTCTAATGGAGGGACAATTACCCAGGTGATACTTAAAGACTGTTCACCAGGGAACAAAGGCCTGAGCCTAGAGAGGAGATTGGCATGGGGACCAGTCAGGGCAAGAGCACCGAGATCCTTTTAGGAATCCAGATGAGAAGAAGAAGCTATTTTTCTTTTTATTTGATAATGTGGTTAATTCAGGTGGGAAGGATAAGAAGGTACTTTCAGATATGGCCATTTTTCTGTTGTTTGTTTTTGATAGCAAGTCAAATTTCATGATTACTGTGAAACTATGAAATTGTGATTGCTATGAAATTTGCTTTTCACTGAATTAACTATTCTCAAAGTGGTCCCCTAACCAGCAGCACCAGTATTGCTGGGAAGGTGTTAGAAATGCAAATTCTCAGGCCCTACCCTAAACCTGGTGACTCAAAAACTCTAGGGTGGGGTACATCAATCTGTGTGTTATAAGTCTTCCAGGCAATCATGTTGCCTGCTACAATTTGAAAAAACACTATACTAGATGTTAGAAAATAAGAAATTTTGTAGGCATTGTGATATATTTGTTCCAAGATATATATATTTCTTTTTTCCTGGTTTAGTTAGAACTGGTGACCTGCAGAAAATGTTTTCACTTAAAAGTATTCTGTCCTGCTAGAGTTCTCCCATCTGATGGTGGCGTCAGTGGGAGAGGAAGAACTTGCAGAGAAAGGGGCTCCTCTTCTGAGATCCCTGTGCAGCAAACATGTAAACCTGTCTTGAGAAGAAGTTACAAGTAAAGGATCACCAAAAAACTCACCACAAGAGTACCCGAGTCTCTCTTTTTAAAATAATGGGCTCCTGGTCATAAGATGCTAGTTGTGTCTGCATCTGTGAAGTTGATGGAAAGCAAGCCTTTCATTCCCTCCTGCCTTGGTAGCTAGTCCATGCAAGAGGTTTTTAATGGCCTGTGTCTATGTTTCTAGAAGCCACCGACCTGAGGTGGCCTAAGGGGCTCTGGACTATCCCAGACTGAATAATGCCCACATCAAAATACTCCTGATCCCACTGGTATAGGAACACAGGAGCAGATTGAGTTCCTCCTTCCATTCATGCTCATTGATGAAGACAGCTTAAGTGGACAAGATCCAGGGAAATGCCTGACAAGCTATGGCGACAAGTCCCTGTCTGCCACATGCATACAGGGATTAGGTCACTACACAAATGCACAAACTCATCTTTTGTTTTTTGTTTTGTTTTGTTTTTTGTTTTGAGACATGGCCTCCCTCAGTCGTCCAGGCTGGAGTGCGGTGGCACGATCACAGCTCACTGCAGCCTCCACCTCCCCAGGCTAAGGTGATCCTCCCACCTCAGCCCAAGTAGCTGGGGCTACAGGAGTGCATACCAGGTCCGGCTAATTTTTGTATTTTTTTGAGAGATAGGGTTTCACTATGTTACTCATGCTGGTCTTGAACTCCTGAGCTCAAACAATTCAACTGCCATGGACTCTCAAAGTGTTGGGATTACAGGCATTAGCGCCATGCTGGGGCCTAATTTGACGATAATATGTATACTACTAATAACAGCACTTTCTATATGCTCAGTAGGTAAAAAGACTTTAGGCTCTCAGCATTTATATTTTAGAGAGTGAGGACACCTCCAGGATGATATTGTACTCTGTAGTCTTCCCAGAGCCCAAGCCTGGAAGATATATGTTGCTGAACAACCACCTGTAAGAAAGAGCAATAATTCTCTTCTGGAACTTGGCAGGGCAGCCTTGTAAGGTTGTGCATGTTGTGCACTTGAAATTCTAGAAGTGAGAGTCAAAATCTCAGTGAGAGCCAAAATCTATTTTCAGTGAGCATTCTTAGGCACAATATTGATTTTGCTTACTCCTGACCCCACCTCACCCAGCATACCTCCCACACACACCCCTCCCCCACCCGGCACTGCACACACAGTTTCATTGGGTAACCTTCCTGGGCCACAGCTGGAAGAAAGATTTCTAGAACTCCTCACCTCAGCAGTCAACTACACAGTCCTGCCCCAAAGCAAGAACAGGGAGTGCCACAACTATCATCTTCCATAGACTCAAGGCTGGAGAAGGTGGCCTGGGATTGTGGGCAGGAATACAGTCAAGGAAGGTCTAAGAGTAGGAGTTTTTGAGGTGGAGACTCTGAGGGAAAAGCAAGGGCTATATCGAGCTGCCAGCTGTGCTTGAAGAGGCAATCATAAGCCTCAGTATCCTCTGCCCAACTTTGTGGTGTTCATCATCTTGTGAACCTTTTCTTTTCCTTTTTCTCTTTTCTTTTCTTTTTTTTCTTTTTGCTGTTGTTGTTGTTGTTGTTGTTGTTGTTGTTGTTGTTGTTGTTGAGACAGTCTGGCTCTGTTGCCCAGCCTGGAGTGTAGTAGTGTGATCTCTGCTCACTGCAACCTCCACCTCCCAGGTTCAAGCAATTCTTGTGCCTCAGCCTCCAGAGTAGCTAGGACTACAGGCATGTGCCACGACACTGGCTAATTTTTTGTGTTTTTAGTACAGATGGGTTTTACCTTGTTGCCAAAGCTAGACTCAAACTCCTGAGCTCAGGCAATCTGCCTACCTCGGCCTCCTAAAGTGCTAGGATTATAGGTGCGAGCCACCGCACCTGGTCATGAACTTTTTATTTCCCTTTATTTTCAACAAAGAATGTTTCATAGTCTTCTTTTGGTAATTAGATTACAATTATATAATATTATGGTTATATTGAGTTAGGATTTATATAAAAATTGTTTTGCTATACGTTGCCACATACAGAGTAAAAGAAAATTTCATAAGGGTCCTCTCAGGGATCATTCCTTGGGCTTAATGGATAGAACATGTGTCAAATATAGAAATGTAAGGTAATTAGTTGAGAACACAGAGGCGAATATACTTAAATACGATATGAGAACCACTTTTTCAACTACTAAGGACAAATTTATTTTTCTTCCTTCGTGTTCTTATAGGAAGACTAGGACTTCAGCTCCACTTCAGAGGAGCATGAAATATTGGAGAAAAAAAACCTTCCGGTCCCACTGAATTCCTATTATTCTCTCTTCCTCATGGGTAGTTGAGAGATTTCTATAATCGTTGAGATTTTGATAGCCTGTCCTCCAAGATTTTGACAGCCTGTCCTCCACTAGGCTTCAGGGTTACCTGACATCAGGAACAGACTTATAAAAGTGGAACTTGCCATTTCTTCAAATAGACACATCTTACCTTATGTAATGTTCATTCATCCCTCTCCTTCTGTCCCCATGCAGTAAGGCTGCTATTGTGAGGTGATTCCACCCATTTTCAACCCCTCTATTTAGGATTGGTTGAGTAAGTTCACACAGACAAAGGAGATAGGAAACCCTAACACATTCTCCAACCTGGCTTGAGCATTCATGAAGCTCGGCATTTGACAACATATTTGGCTCTCATATTTTACTCAGAACCCTTCATGGAAGGAGAGAAATCCAAAATGTGTTTATGTGCTGAGAACATGAAAAAGATGAGCAAGGAACCCACCTTTCTGTGAACCCTGTCTCCACATTTCTTTTGTCAACATTAGTTATGCACTGCAAAGTCAGAAGGAAGCAGAAACAAGATGGGTTTTGTAGTGTTGAGGGTGGTGCTGAGATTATTTTGATGTTAGCAGAATTAATCTCTTTTGAGTTGATTTTTAGACTTTATGTAACCTACCTGTTGGCACTATGATTAGCATGTCCCCAGGATTTTTATGTCAACCTGTTCTCTTTCCTAATGACATGACCGTAGAACCCAGAGAGGCACCAGATAAAGGAGGCAGGGATACTGGGACAGAGGATATTTGACTCTTTGAAGTGCTGGCTTCATTTTCAGTAGACTGAATACTGTGACAAAATATAATTAATTGCTGCCTATTTTTACAGTGAAGAATCTGATGGAAAGCTCATTGAAGACAGCCTGATTCCGCTGAGATGTCACTTTACAACTTTACATGAAAGTTGTTAATTGAAGCCCCTGAAATTCCTAATTTAGAAAACAAAGTCTTGGAAGAGATTCAGTTCCTGAACACCAAATACAATGTGGGAATACACAAGAAGCCTATGTGAAACACTTGAAAGGCCAGAATGAGGAAGCCCTGGAGAGCTTAAAAGATGCCAAAGACAACCCAGAAAGAACATGCCAACCAAGCAGATGTGAGAAGTCTGGTGACCTGGGGCAACTTTGCCTGGGTGTATTACCACATGGGCAGACTGGCAGAAGCCCAGACTTACCTGGACAAGGTGGAGAACACTTGCAAGAAGTTTGCAAATCCTTCCCGCTATAGAATGCAGTGTCCAGAGATGGACTGTAAGGAAGGATGGGCCTCGCTGAAGTGTGGAGGAAAGAATTATGAACGGGCCAAGGCCTGCTTTGAAAAGGCTCTTGAAGTGGACACTGTGTAAGGCCGGCTGCCTCGCAGAGGGTTAAACGGACACATCCATCTCTCTCGTGCCTGATAACTGCGTCATCACCCAAGCTCGTTATCTGGCCTCACCGCATGGCTTCCCCGCACCCGCCTCCGCATACCAGACCCAAGCCCACATTCAGCACTAAATTATGCATCCAACCCCCAGCCCGCTGTTGAAAAACCCTGCAGAAAAATTTTTTAAAGAAGCCCCATCAGACCCTGCCCAGTAGCACTCTGCTCTGTATGCCCCCGGAAGGCCCATTTACCCAAGGTCCCACCGGCCTACCCATGGCAACTAGTTCCAGGTATTTCCTGCTTCCTGAAAGCCAGTAAGATTGCCTTCGCTTTGTTTCCCCAATAGCCAATTCCCTCCCCATAAAACCCCATGCATGATCAAACCCCATGATCTGAACAGCTGGGTGCAACTTCTTTGGCCCCTTCCTGGACCACAGAACCTCACCTGGGAGCTGAATAAATTAGCTTCTCATTTTCTTATACTTGCCTCAGTTTCCTCATTTTACCTCGGCTTACCTCGGCAATAAATCTTACACCCTGAAAACTCTGAATTCTGTACTGGGTATGCAATTGCTGTCCATCACCCGGATGGCTTTAACACAGCAACAGAGAGGAATGAGGCATTGTCTCTGCACGCCCTAAAACGAGCTGTCAGGCTAAATCCAGATGATGTACATATTAAGGTTCTCCTTGCCCTGTAGCTTCAGGATGAAGGACAGGAAGCTGAAGGAGAAAAGTACATTGAAGAAGCTCTGACCAGTATGTCTTCACAGACCTATGTCTTTCGATATGCAGCCAAATTTTACCGAAGAAAAGGCCCTGTGGATAAAGTTCTTCAGCTCTTAAAAATGGCCTTGCAGGCAACACCCACTTCTGCCTTGCTGTGTCACCAAATGGGGCTTTGCTACAAGGCACAAATGATCCAAATCAAGGAAGCTACAAACAGGCAGCCTAGAGGGCAAGATAGGGAAAATGTGGACAGATTGGTTTGATTGGCTATATGCAAATTTGAAAAGACTATAATGTTAAAGCCCACATTTGAGTTAGCCTGTGTGGACCTAGCTGAAATGTATGCAGAAGTGGGCCACCACAGAAAGGCTGAGGACATTTTTTAGAAAGTGCTATGCGCGAAGATCGTTGACGATCACAAAAAGCAAGAGATTCATTACCCCTACAGCTCTTTCCAAGAACATCATGGGAAATCTGAAAATAAAGCAATCACCCATTATTTAAAAGGTTTGAAAACAGAAAATATGTCCTATTCCAGGGAAAAACTTCTCAATGCTTTAGAGAAATTGGCTAAGAGACACGTTCACCGGAATGTACGGGCTGTGGAAAGTTTCAGTCTCCTTGGGCTCATCCACAAATTGAAGGGAGAAGTAAGTGACGCCTTCCTGTGCTATAAGAGAGCTCTGAGGCTGACTGCTGACCTGAACCCTATGTTTTGACTAGAAATCACCATTACCCATTTAATGGTCTTATAACTAAATAGAATAACTATGAAGTTAAATAATGCAAACTGAAACTTAAAGCTGTTGGAACTTTACATTATTTTGAGCCTTGAGAGGAATGTAGCTGTGTGGCCTGAGCTATGCAGTATGCAACTGCAACTTCTGCTTTTTCCCATAAATGATCAGGAAAGGCCTTGTGGCACCAGACATAAGATGCCCTGAAAGCATCATCCCTCCTGATGGAATGGTAAAGCAATCTTTCCTGGAATGTAACAAACAGTAACCAATCCAATTGCTACAATGTATGTACTGACCTATGGAAAATGCTGCCTCCCTGTTTACTGCCTGTATAAGTAAAACCTTAACCTCCCCACTTTGAAAGCTGACCCCAATCATTAGATGTCTATGTTTCCTGAGTGGTTACCCACAAGCTTTGTGCTCAAATGGAGTCTATACTTAGTCATAGTTTCTGAATCCCATTATTTCAGATGGAGACAACAGTCTCCCAATTGCTGCTTTCAAAAATGTATAATCTGCCGGGCGCGGTGGCTCAAGCCTGTAATCCCAGCACTTTGGGAGGCTGAGGCTGGTGGATCACGAGGTCAAGAGATCGAGACCATCCTGGTCAACATGGTGAAACCCCGTCTCTACTAAAAATACAAAAAAAATTAGCTGAGCATGGTGGTGCACGCCTGTAATCCCAGCTACTCAGGAGGCTGAGACAGGAGAATTGCCTGAGCCCAGGAGGCGGAGGTTGCGGTGAGCCGAGATCGCGCCATTGTACTCCAGCCTGGGTAACAAGAGTGAAACTCTGTCTCAAAAAAAAAAAAAAATGTATAATCTGATAAAATACAAAAATACTTTGATACAACACATACTCTACTGCCTGGCCTCCCCCCTCCTTCTTTCCACATCAATCCATGTGTCCGCAACAGGAGCATCTATCCTTCCACAACACACCCCTGCATTCACTGATCAAGGTTGATTAATGCTGTTTTAGGCACCTACATCTGCTGAGACAATAAGAATCGTTTTCCTTAAAATTTTGCCTTTGGAATGGGCAGTTTTCATCCTCAGTCTCCCAAACAAAGGAGACCTAAACAGGGAAAGTTTCTATTCCATGTCACCAGGGTCAATGACCTGCAACAAAATCTAAGAGCAAAACAAATGAGCAAAGACAAGAGTTGGAAAGGAGAGAATTTCAGGAGATGATAGCTTTCTAGCTGGAGTTCTATTTCCCAAGGCCCTACATAGCCAAGACCTGGTGGTCAGTGAGCCAAGTCTATAACCTGATAACAAATTCAAATTTTTGTTTACATGTATCCAGCCCCTGGCAATCACAAAGGATCTACATGATCCAAACACATTGCTGGACATGTATTCACACCTGACATCACACCTAAAATCACACATCTAAGGTCACACCTAAGGGCTTTGCTAAGATCACAAATTCTTTGAGTGTATTTTATTAGTGATACTCAAAAACAGATGTATATTTTATGTTTAGTTTCAAATGGAAAAATGCAGATCCAACTTCGACAGCATTAGAAGGCCTGAAGCAGAGGAAGCGATGAAAATGGAAACCTGATCAAGAATTTTTATAATTTTTATTTCTTTATTAGAGGCAGAGTCTTGTGATATTGCTCGGGCTAGAGTGCAGTGGCGATTTACAAGCACAATCATAGCACCCTGCAGTCTTAAAATTCTGGCCTCAAGAGATCTTCCCTCCTCAGCCACCTGAGCAACTAGGACCGTAACTGCATGCCACCATGTGCCACTTCCTACCAAGAATTTAAAAAAATACTGGGGAGGCATTTACTACTACAGGCCATGGAATTGGAAGGTTGAGTTACTCGGATCCTTGAAAGCTGGGATTGACCAATGATGGAGATTTGGGGGCGTAGGGAGGCATGGCAGGGGAGTGGAGTCGTTTAGATCATTTAGATGACACCTGAAAAGCACAGGAGTAACACCCTTTTCAACTTTGTTGATACTAAACAAAGAACATACTTATTCCATTTAACCTGAGGAAACTACTAGTGACTTTTCCCTGTAAACAAGGTGTGACTCAGGCTCACCTGGCCTCTGCATTCCTTACCTGTGACTGCCGCAGAGCTTCTTATAGGGGAGATTTGCCTCCACTTACGGAATTAATCTAAATGAGAAATCTGAGGACATAGCTCTACTAATTAGAAAACACAGAGACAATGTTCTTCTAACCGGACAAGTCTAAGCTTTTGGTTTGGCTCAGTTCTATAACTGTTAGTAAACTGATAGCTATTTGCTCCTTAGCCACTGGTTACAAAGAGAATAAGAGATTTATAGTCCTCTTGGCTAAATTCATCACAAATGAAATTAAATTACTCAGCTGGTTAGTAAGTTGTCAGGAAATTAGGTTTTATTGAACCAAATTTACTCATTAATTAATATTAAAACCTTCCCACCACTCCAGGCACTGGAACCAAAATCCTTTTCCTTAGCAACTGAATCTACAATAGAGTTTATAGGTCTGTGAGTGTATAAGTGTGTGTATGTGTGTGTGTGTGTGTGTGTGTGTGAGTGAGAGACAGAGAGAGAGAGACAGAGAGAAAGAGAGAAGAGAGAGAGAGAGAGAGAGAGAGAGAGAGAGAGAGAGTGTGTGTGTGTGTGTGTGTGTGTGTGTGTGTTTGGATGAGCACCAGGTAAGTCCTAAAACTATTTTAACAACATCAATTCACCATACCCTGGGAACGTAAGAAGGACTCAATAAACAATTAGGTGTTGGTTGGTTGAGTATCATGTAAAGATGTAAAGTGTGCTTTTATCAGTGGCTTCTACATGCAATATGGGACAAGGAAGAAGAGAGAAAAACTGGAGGGTATATAAAACTTATATCTACCTATTTATATTAAAATGAAAACAGTGGAAGGATAAATGAAATTTTGTAATGGCTACCAATAAGAAAGAGAAGAAAAAGGAAAGGAACAGCAATAGAAGCCAGACTTCTCTGTGTTTGTTTTTAGAACCATGCCAATATTTTACCTAATTATGAAACCAAATTTATATTTAGAAAAGCAATCCACTTATGTATGCTAAATGTTGTATCAATTAATTGTACTGAAGACTCCTTTATGCAATAACAAAATATAAAATAAATGAATGGGTAGATAGAGAAATGAGTGGATGAATAGATATGTTATAAAGTAAATACAGTAAAATCTTAACTGTAGAATATAGTTATATTAGTGTTCATTGTAAAATACTCTCAACTTTTCTCTCTGCTTGACCAGGTACAATAATAAAATGTTTGGATAAAAAGGGCAAATAGCAGTATCTAAAAAGTACATCAAACTGAGACAAATGATCCAAAATATATAGGGAATGGTGGATAAAATCACATAAGGAGGAAGGATTCCATGTGGTTTTTAAATGCATTGTAATTTGACTCCATATTTTTAACAGGATATAGCTTATGGACAAAAATAACGTGAAAAAACAAAAAAAAATTTTTTTTTTTGAGACAGCATCTTGCTCTGTCACCCAGGCTGGAGTGCAGTGGCATGATCTTAGTTCACTGCAATCTCTGCCTCCCATGTTCAAGTGATTCTCCTGCCTCAGCCTCCTGAGTTGCTGGGATTACAGGCGAGTGCCACCATGCCGAGCTAATTTTTGTATTTTTAGTAGAGATGGTTTTTCGCCATGTTGGCCACGCTGTTCTCAAACCCCTGACCTCAGGTGATTCTCCCATCTTAGTCTCCCCACAAAGTGCTGAGATTACAGCTATGAGCCACTGTGCCTGGCTGAAAAAAAACATTTCTTAAACTCTGCTCAGCACCATTCTGGAGGTGTTTTGTTAATTTTGTTTCTCAGAGATGGTTATTTGTGTATTATGTAATAGATCACATGAATAATTAAGTTGGTATTACTTAGAAAAGGAATGTTTAGTTTGGGAGGAAAAATACACATATGTAAGGTTGATTATGTTAAGAAAAAAAATCCTGCGTACCTGACTTTGTACATAACATATTTTATCTTCAAAATATATATACATTATCAAAGTCATTTTTCTGGTTTTAATATTGTACTACAGTTATATAAGATATCACTATTTGAGGAAGTTGGATGAAAAGTACACAGGATCTCTTCTGAAACTTCTTGTGTCTATAGTTGTTTTAAAGTATGCCTGAAATGTTGAGAAAAAATTAACTGATAAAGTTCTAGTAGTACTTGAGTAGGTTGCAGTAAACCAAATTGTGGGTCAAGGTGGGCTGAGTGGTATCCTGGAATGAGTGGCCTCTTGAAGATATTAGAGATGTAATTAAAGATATTAGAGATGTAAAGGTCATTAGAAGATATATAAATCATCGAACCATTTACAAAAAAAAAAAAAAATCTGGAGTCCAAGTCCTCTCTCCATGGATGTGATTGGAAGTAGTTTAGGAAAAATCTCAGAAGCCAAGAAAATAGTTTTCATACAGTGGTCAAAACACTGAGAATTACATTCCTCAGAAAACAGACTACCGTTAAAAATATCTCTGTGATTGAATAAATTCAAAGGAGTATATAACATGTAATTAGCAGAGATATTCCAATTGTTAAATGTTAAACTACAAATTATAAAGAGAAATATCTAAAAACCTAACTTTTATGATGAACTAAAAAATGTAAGAAAAATCAAAGGTACAGGAAAGTGTAAATGGATTGATGGCTTCAGTTAAGCCTTTGGTTTCATGATCCTAGCATGAAAGCATCTTGTATGTCTTTCATGTCCCTACAATGCCTTCATTTAACTCTGATTACCAAAAACCCAGTACAGTAGCAACTTCTGCAGTACATACTGATGTAAAGGACTGCTGAGGAGACAGAGAAGCCCAAGGAAGTAGCCACCTAGGGGCTGAATTTGTTTTTAACAAGAAATCAGCTTTTCATTACGTAACCAGGTCACTAGATCCTATTCTAGCTGGCCTTTAGCAAGCCGATAAGAGATTTTAGACTACAAGAGATGACACTGGACAAGA